AAGTGGAGAGAGCGTTCGTCCGTTTGTTTGGACGGAGGACCTTAAACACGTGGTCCCGTTGTATACACACGGATCGTACGGATCGAGGCCCGAGAAAATAAAAAAAAAGCCTGCCCATTGGAGGAATGGAGAGAGGCGGGTGAGTGCGCCGGCTCGCGGGAAAAGAATGACGCACCGAGTGAAACGAGAGACCGAGACGAAGGGAGATAGCGGTGGGCCGGGGAGGAGAAGGCACCCTTTCGCGCATGCTGTATTGTTTCTGTGTCCGGTCCAGGCGGGAGAGAGAGAAAGAGAGAGAGAGAGAGAGAGAGACAGCGCGGGGGGTGTCGATGAACGGCGGGTGCGAGCGAGACAACCGCTATCGGTTATTGGAAATCTGTATTTTTGTAGGCCATACCTCTCTTCCGCGTTAACCCCGTGCTTCTGTGCTGAGTGAATCGCAACCAATGGGTCACCCCGATCGTCTCGATCGAGCGACACGCGGGAGAGACGATGCCGCCGGCCACGGCTCACGTCGCACGCGGGACACTTTCAATCTGTGTCGTCATCGTGGGGCTCTCTCTTTTTCGCGATGGCGGTCCTGGCCGATGGCCGCGGCATCGCCACCGCGCCGGCGATTCCAATCTAACTTACAATGGCCGCGTATTAAGGGTTCCATTTGCGAGCCCCCGCGCGGATGGCGGGTCGCGACTCTATCGCAAAATTACACCGCGTTTCCGCCGTACCGCTGCCAACCTCGTACGTTACACAACCAATCGTTCACTCCCACACCGGGAATGCTGCACTCGTCGCGGACTCGTTCGCGCGATTGCTTTTTTCCATCACCGCTCGTAGAATTCGTAGATTCGCTTCTTTATTCGTTGTCTTCTCCGTCTTATCTTCGCTCGCTTGATCACACGCGTTAAATTATATATAAAATAAAGTTTATCGAGTATTCACGGATGCGGATGATAAGCGCAGAGCGGCTATTTAAATTTTCCAATATTTCGCCTGTTGTACTTAATAAGAACTTTATTTTTGTTCACCATTATTTCGTGATTTTCGTTCACCTCTGTGCTCATTACTGCAGTGACATTTTCCACATGAGGATATTCATAAAGCTGCTTACACGGTGTAATGAAAAAATTTTACAATAATGCATTTCCTTGTGTCCTTCTTAATCCTTTTAATATTTTAACAACCACGCGTGCAAAATATACACGTGCAAACCAAAGTACAGTTCAAAGCTAACTACGCATCCCATGGTTGACCTTTTCGCCACGGAAAGCAGAGCGAAAGACGCGCGTTCCGGTGGTATCGGAATCTGCGCGACGTCCAGCGTCCACAAATGAACGGAATAACGACAAACCAACGTAAAAAAAGAAAAAAAGAAATTTCCTCAGGTATAAAAAAGTGCACGGGGCAATTATCGTAAACCAGATATCTCCGTCAGTCGATCTCCCTTTTCGCGCCGATTAGCCGGCTGAAATTTCAAGCGTGAATTCTCTCGTTTGCAAATTTCCCTAAAAATCGCCACCACTTTGACCGTGTGCCTGGAAGGTACACGTAGGTACACGGCAGCGCCAGGCGACGTTATTGCGCGCTCGCCCTTTCCCGCGGTAACAGCGTTGCATCGCCGACCGAACGACACGTTGCTCAAAGAGGTCCAATTTTGCATGGCGTTAATCGCATTATCTCGTCCCGCCCGATCGAAAACTCAAACGGCCGGGCTATCTCATCGTCGCCTCGTCGCCTCTTCGCTTCATTAAGAGATACACCTCCCCGGGATTCCGGACGGCGCGGCGCGGCGCGGACGCGGCGGGTCGCACGCTCCTCCAGAGGCGCCGGTTCGCGCGTCCTCCGGCCGCGCGTTCTCCAGCAGGCGCCGCTAATGGCGTTCTTATTAGCCGCGACATTATCCCGTCGGTCGAGGCTAATAGGAATCGAATTATGTCGATGGCACGATAATGGAAATTAATCGTAATCAAATAATCGATCGTTTATGCCGTTCCAAGTGGCGCGTGAGCCACTTGCATAGTCATCACTTCGCGAGATAAGTCTATGTACATCGCTAATTCCACTTGTGTCGTTCTCTACATCGTGATAATGACGCGACAAACAATCACGAAGAGTTCGTAAGTCGCAACAGAATTATGCCGCGACCTTGAAGAGACGAACGAACAAAATAAACTTCATCGCACACGTAGAATCGTTTTCGAACTGGAAAGGGCCAATGAACACGCGGGATCATCTGTACTTTTTACGACCGACTTAACTGTCGAATGAGATTTTTTTTGTCGATTACGGTCAAACGTTTCGCGTTTTCGCAACGGATCAGATTGACGCGACCAGCGATACGAACGATTTTCCTAAATCAGGTTAACGAGACGAATTCGCCGGATCGATGAACTTTTTCTCGCCGCGGTAACTACGTCAGGAAGTATGGCAGATCAAATGGATAATTGCTAATTAGTACCCTCGGGCTCCGATTCGGGGAAACGCGATAATTAGGCACCAACGAGCACGCGTCTACATGGTTTTGCAATCATTAGTTATGTACTTACCATGAACTATAAGAACAATTGATATAAAGAAAAATTCGTTGCGCTGTACGTAATTGGATGCATAATTTTCGACGCATTTACAAACGCATTTTGCGCATAATACATAATTCATAAGATAGAAGTCATGCATGATCCTCCATAAACCGGCTAAGCAGTTAAGTGTGCAAATTTTACTTAATTACGAAAACGTGGTTTATCATACTTTCGTTAAATAGCGCGATTAGCGACGAAGGTAATTGCGCCCGAGTTATTTATAATCGTAAGGTCCGCGAGAGGCAATAAGGCGATCTCGCGCAGGAAATATCACTGCCGATGTTAACCTCCGCAATCGGAGTGCCCGTTAATTCCCCATCTTAATTAGCGCGTAACGCGCTTATCGCGACATTTTTAAAGTAGCTATATCGAAAGGCCGAGCGAGTTTTACTTTTTTGTTCCTTTTTTTTTACCTAGTCACTTTCGTTCGCGCGGAGCGTGCCGCCGCGATAAATGGTACTCGATAAATTTACGACGAATTTACCGATAAAAATAAAGCGCAAAAAAAGAAGAGAGAGGTGCGCGCGTGCGCGCGCGCGCGAGCTCTATATCTTTCTCTTTTTCTCTCTCACGTGAAAAAATACGCTCGGTAAATCCGCGCGTTGTGAAACCGGGCAACGCGGCGTGGCGCGGCGGAGTGTTCGGCGAACGATCGACGACCATTCAAAAGCCGCCGTCTGAAAAGTTTTTCCACCCGCGGCTCCGGTAAACACCACCACGGTTTTTCTTCAACTTTTCAAACACCCCCCGCCCCGCCATCGCCGCGCCATCCGCCTGCGCGCATCGTCCCGGCGCCTCTTTTTTCTTTTCCCGGCTCGTCCTCTTCCTCACGCTAGCTGGCACACATAACGAACGCGCATCGGGCAATCCCGCGGAATTTATACGGTCGTTACTCGCAACGCTTCCACTATTTTCAACTACGTTGCCGGTAGTTGGAATACTCTCTACGCGCCGAATAACTTGTTTGACTCGTCGCAAAACAGGCGCGGTAATAAAGAGACGTCCCCGATCTAATTGCCGTCGCGACTCGTCTCGCGAAACGAGCGGGGGGAGGGCTATCGGGAGAGATCGTTTCGGGATTGACTGAATGTGCCCCCTTTTGTGTGCGGCGCGTATATCAAAAATTGTTCGCCGCGCCGCGCCGCACACAATCCCGACGACCGGTTTGTAGGCAACGCGATATTATGAACCATGTCGCGAAAGCGCTGGTCGAATGGTCGTCAGACACGACGCGACAGATTTATAAAAGCGTACGTCGTCATAGATTTCTAGAAAATGGTCGTAAACGTTTAAGAACATGTCGCAATTTTTGCTGAAATTAATCAGTTCTTTTACACGAGCCATTACCTTCGCGTTCTCCGACTGGACGTCGCAATTTCGCGCCGTGCCCCGTCGCGAAGGCGGCCGTGAGGAAACCCTGTTAATGTCGAAAATTGTTTCATCACGGGAATAAAGTAAAGGGCGATGCGCGCGAAGGACAACGGCGCGCGGCGCGTCGTCCTCGACTTTGCGCGCGCGGCGGGGCCCGGGGTCTGAAAAGCGTTACCTCGCAAATCACGTTGTTTCCTAGCTCTCTCGCGTCCTCTATACAAAACGTCCCCCCGTACATCAGACCTTAAATATTTCCGTACGTACGCTCTCTCCTCCATAAAACGCCGGCACGGAGAAAAAGGATAATCACACGCGCGTATTTAGCGCTCGCTCGAGTCCTTCGTTCGTGCACGTACTGCGGTGCGGCGCGGCGCGGAGCGGAGCGGCGCGGCGCGTTCTCCGAGAGCTATTTTTCGAAATGCGAAGCGGGGAAAAAAATTACGCCCGGCGAACGAACGAGGTCCGTGTTGGCGCGTTTCCTCTTTTTCGAGCACACGGCTCGGCTCGTAACGGCGAAGAACCGAGAGGCACGGGTTAAGGGGAAAGGAGCCAGAGGAGAGAAGAATCGTGGTATGTGCGTGTACGTGCTCCTCTCTATGCGCGCTCCGCTCCGCTTCTATAAGCACCGTGCACACCGTCGTGAATTTGGAATGTTTACCGCGCACACCGAGCAAATATTAATAAAATGTAATATCCCGCAAATGAGCTCGCCGCGCACACGCCGCCGCCGCGCGCCGCTCCGTGCTCCAATAGAGCCTTAGACGCATCTTTGATTACGCGACGGCTCTGTCGCGGATAATTCTTTTTCTTTCTTGTTAAACAACTCGCGACACCACGAATGCTGTATCGCGGAGTTCTAAGCAACGCGTATTTCTTTCCTCTCTGGTTGAAACATTATTTAAAAAAAACTGGTTGACGATGATAACGATTCGCTTCGTCCGATCAGTTTTTCCTCGCTCTCGTATCTCAATCTTAAGTCTTTCATTTCACTGGGAATATTTTCCCTGAGAGCCGGAGCTATACTTGATCTGAAATTATTTTTATTTCTTGCAGGACGTCCGTGTGTGCACGTCCTCCGTATATATGTGGGGAACAGGTGGGAACGTGTGCGCCTTTTGGCCCCCCCACGAAGCGGAGACGAGCTCGTTCCCTCGGACGTGTCCCATTGGCTATTCCCCGCGGAACAGTATCTGGGTCCCACGAAACTTGGGACCGACGGCATTCTTCGCAGTCGAGAAGATTCCCGGTGACCGACAGCGAGTCCCCCCTCCCTCGTCGGACATTCTCCGCAGTTCGCCGATTGTCGGGGAGTCCGTAACAAGCTGCTTTCCCGATCGCGTCAACTGTGTGAATCAATCGGCGCGAAAGTGTGAACGTTTCTTATATATTAAATTGTGCTCATGTGTGATTTCTCATCGATATATTATCGCCGACGAAGAAAAGCAAGAAGAAATCGAGGTCACGTGGAAAGTGCATAAAAAAACTATATATTTATGATATGTCATTGAACCAAAAGGAGTAAAACAATGTAATTAGAATCTCTCCGAGTTAAATTAAAATTCACACACTGGCGCACATAAATATTACCGGCAAGGAAAACTTCATCTGAATAATAAATTAAAATAAGATATAGTATATATATAGTCGACAGAATTGATGAAGAGAAATAATAACACGGATATTGAATTTTATTAAATTTTCAGCAAATTTCAGTTTCTCTCTCTCTCTCTCTCTCTCTCTCTACAGCACTGAAAATATTTTTATCTGACCGTGAAATATTGTTGTGACCTCTGTATCGCGGCTATTTTGTAATTGACGTATCGTATCTCTGTAGATTTACTCAGATTTCAAGAAATTGATCCGCGACCTTCACCGGCAAAGCACTGATAACGCCTGTACAAGCGTTGAAACGTCCCACTGCGCCCGCGTTCTACGGAAAAAAATATTTTTTCTCCGACTGCTGAATCAACATTCCAGTATTTTTCATGGAGGTACGAGTCGCTTTTCACCGTGACGGCGTGCTCAGTATTCTAATTTCTGATTCTGGACAGCGAACGAGGCGCATATTTTTTATACAGCGCGTAATTATCATAGCGGTCGTGCAAGGATGCTGGGAATAATATTTTACAAAAAATATTAGGATTTACGCAAGCTCGATCGCGTATACATCTATCATTTTATCTGTATGTTGAATAAGGCGCGCTCAGTTTTTCGTAGATGTAAAAAAGATTTTCATTGAGTAATTATTTTATTAAATTCATATTATCGCAATCTCTGATCTCTCAAAGATCTCTAGACGATTATTCGTCATTGGACTATCCCCATATAGTACATATTTTAATACTAGAATATTACGCTACTTCATTAAACTCCGGTGGAACTTACGATGTCTTTTAAGTAAAATAAATTTTCCAAACGCACGCGTGGCGGATGTCAACTTCAAATAGAGTTCAAGTTGACTTTAATTTTAATATATAACTGAATATTATGTCTCTTTTTCTCTCTCTGGAATTAATATTGAAAAGAGATAAAAAAGAATTCATTAAACGACGGTAAAAACGGATGAAATCGCTGTTTTAGCGATACGATTAAAGGCGGAATAAATTGTCTAAATTGAACTCTCTTGCTTAAAACAAATTCATAATATTCGCTAATTGTACGTGCGACGACGCTAACGATGCTACCCGCTCGTTTCTAATAAATCTCATATTTTATCCGTCGTTTCGGACCTTATCGAATCATAGGTATGCGGTTGAACGTCAAACCAATCGCGGTTATCGGTCGATGAAATCGTCATGAAGTTCGTTTCGATGTTCGGCGTATTTGCGGTGCCGGGCGCGAGGACGACGCAGAGCAAATTTTATTTCGGGCCTTCGCCGATTCGATGCTTCAGTAGTTTGAAAAATTTTCGTCGGATCCCTTCCATCGGGCGCAACTCACGATATTTCGCGAGCCGGCATATTTCCTCTAACTTGTAATATTACTGTTCACACATATACACATATAAGGGAATAGTCAAACTGAACTTTGAGATAATTCGATTGATCCGCATTAAAATGCTGTTCTACACGTTGGCGCTTTGTGACACGTAATGAAGTGTTGTTTTCACGTACAAGAAGAACGGGATGTTTTGCAAAAATTACGTGATTTAATTAAAAATATCGATCGGGGGTTATTACGATGACAGTTGAACAGCCCGTTTCTATCGTACAAAATGTGTCGTTTTAACGTTTTACATGTTAATTTTGCATTCTCTTATTCTCATTATTCGAGAGCGAGGTACGATGTAATTACATGCGTTTAGCTCCGGAGTCCGCAAAAGTGCTTGTACGATCGGTTTTCTGTCAAGATCGTCGGACATCCGCGGAATCACTTAACTTCCACCGAGCCCGATATCTTTTTCCACGCGTAAAATGTGTTAATAAATTCGCGATCTGAAACAACGAAACGCGTCTTTCGTTGTAAAAACCGTAACTGTCGCGAGCTGTATTCTGATTTATCGTGAAATAATTTAAATTGTGCGGAGAAACAGTCCAATTAATTGCAATCAATAGAAACAGAAACGTAATATGGAACGCGCACTTCGCGTTTCTGCGATTTCTTCTCCCTCCCTTCTTCTCACCTTCTCTTTTTCTCTCTCCCTCTCTTTATGCGTCTCTTTTTTTTTGTCGGCAATCGAAAGTGCGATCCACTTTCCATTTCTGATCGCGGATAAAACGAAGGAACGCTTGCTAATCGCCGGAGGTCATCCACGCTCTTTCTCGGACTTTAGATTTCCGCGGGATTTCCGTCGATTACTTTTTTATTCTCCTCTGTAAGTAAAACGGGAAATCCCCTTCTTACACGATTAAAACGTTAGTTTTACAGCGAAGGGAGCTCAAGTCGCAAAGTCGGGCACAAAGTGAATTACACGATATCCCACGCCTGGGAATTACATCAAAACGACGGTGCTCCAGAAAAGAAAGAACGTCGCACGAAGAAATGTACCTGCCGGTCAACTTCTGTTTCGCATCACGATAGAAATCGAAAGCGCAATTTTGCGAGCGAAAGATACATAACGTATATAAATGTTCCGGTAATAATTACTAACAATAAAATCACGTGGAGCATTCAACGCAGCTGAAAACGGAAAGTGATCGGAAACAAATACGAAACTAATAATGAATGTAAAATTGACAGATATTTATTTAAACATTTAAATCGGCCGAGATAAATACGGCGACGAGCCGCGCGCGCAAATTATAACGCGGAGGTTAAAGTTCGTAGTTGCCAACAAAATAATTACGTTAAATATAATTTTCGCTACGATAACCTGAAAATGGGCCACTATCAGACAAAATTACGTTTCGCGTCATCGGTTCGTAATTAACTTCGAAATTTAACCTTTATTACTTCATTATTACTTAGAGGTTTTATACTTCTTTTCCATCAGAATCACGTATTTCATCCTATTACCATTTTTCACGATGCATTTATGAAACGTTCGTTTGTCGCGAGTTAAAAAAAGGAGAGGCTATTATTATTCGATCCCCCATTTGCGATAGTCGTTGAATATTTGTTAATCGATACATGTAAGTTGACGCGTTTCAAATTGTCGGTGGAACTTACGAAAGCAAACGAAAAGAGGGAATTGAAAACTTAATAACGACAGTTACCGCGATTATATTTTATATTGCTGCGGTTATTGATATAGTATAAATCCACATAAAACCCAACAATCAAACGGGATCCCGATACGCGGGGCTTGATATTATAAAAATATATATGTTTGCCCAGCAAAATGGAGATATTTGTACGTATAAATATACATTAGACACGATATAATGTGCGTACGATACAACGGGAAACGTACGCTTGCTGAGAAACGATAAATAAAATATTACAAAAGAGTTCAAACATCGCTAAATTGTTAACGAAAAAGCGAAGGAAGAGTGTGGCTTCTTTTTCACGTCTTTTTCTCAAATCGATTTTCGCGTAATTAAAAAAATTAGGGACATTATTCTCCTTTAAAGCGTAGATTACCGCCCGTGATAAACACCAAGGGAGAGACATGTTTTGCCTCGAATAAAAATGGAGGAAAGTGCGAGTGCGCATGAATCGATGGCCGCGAGACGAAAGGAGACCTTGCCCTCGCCGTCGGTTGAAATCACCGAATTTTTATGGCGGCCTTAGCTCACACAGCGCCGTCGCGGCCGCCAAATCTATTCTTAATATCCCGTGAAGAACTCGCTGAAAACATCCTACGATAATCCTTTTTCGATAAAAACGTTTCACATGCGTGTTTTTCGTGTAAAACGACGACGTTAAGATTTCGACGTGTTCAACAAACGATTAACAAACATATAATCGTCAAAAAAGACAAAAAAGAACAATTGTTTCTAATTGTAAATTAGCGACATTTGTTATTTCCTATTAGAATATTTATGAAATCTTGCAAAATACGCTGTGATGAGCAAAGTCAATATCTTCGAAGAAAGGTATTTCTAATAATTATAGATAATTTCGTAGATTTTTATCAATGATTAATAAGATAATGCAGATAAAAGTGCGACGATTGTGAATTACTTAAAAACGTCTTTGTTAATAAATGCCAAATGAGAAAAGAAAATATATTTTCGTCAGGCAGCGCGCCATTCGCTATCCGTCGGACATTTCACCGGCGTAAAAATGGAGGCACGCGGCTCGTGCAAACATCTTTGATGTTCTATCGCTTGGATAACTATTTACATTGAAAAACTTACAGATTCCGAATGATCTTAAAATATTCTCTGGAATGCCTTTTTTATTATTCGTTAAAAAATATAGTTCTAGATAGAGAAATAAAGCATTCCACGTGATTCTTTTTCGTTAACTACTTTTTTTCATGAAACTATCGCTATTTCTTATGCAATCTTAAACAATCTTCAAACGGGCATTAAGTTTTAATAAAAGTAAGCAAAATCTTTCCAAGTATTACATAGTTTGATGCAAAATTTCACAGAAAGCAGAGAATTTTTTGTATTTTCTGCTTAGAACTAGCTTTAATGTTAGTATGAGCATACATTACATTTTAACTATGTTACAACTAAGTTGTATTTCGGGGAAACATCAATAGAATTTACGTATTACATGCTTGAAAAGAATAACAATTGTATTAGATGTTCTCAGCGAGCTGTCAACGAAATATACAATATAAAAATTTATATAAGAAAAAACTAGGAAATGTTATATAATTATAATTATCTTAACGCACGAAGAAAATTATTTTACAACTTTTAAAACAACAGTGCTCTGTGGAATCATTTCAAGTGAAACGTTCTTCTGCCGACGGTAACGTTCTCGCAGAGCAACGATATCATAATTTAAAAAACTAGTTCAATTCGGCTGTGAATCGCAAAACACGTGTCACAAATCGTTTATGCAAACTGTATACAATAAAAAAAAAGTAAATTTTATCGATAATTTTTATGATTAATATTTTTATTCTTTCTTTCTCGCGTGATCGCGAAACTGTCGGTTTGCCGTCGGATCGCGTATCTGGATACATTTTTCATTGTTTAAGTTAAAATCTGATAAAATAGTCATCTGTCTAGCAATTTGGC